ATTGTTTAAATTAATGCAGCTAAGAAATCGTGGAAGAGCATCATGATCCAATGAAGAGTTCATGAGCTGGAGCAACTTGGGAAGGCAGAAATCACAACACCAGTTCTGTTTTTCACTAGTCGATTTCAGTAAGTTATATAAACTCTCTGAACCTCAGCATCATTATTGGTAAAACTCGAGCAACACAGTCAAGAAAGTATGCTTGCTACTGTCTATGTCTCCAGCTGATCACAGCAAAGAAAAAAAAAAACTTTGGTTAAAATAAAAAAAAAGCAACCACAAGAAGATTTTTAAAAGTAAACAAAGCGGATGGATTAGGGGAGGACTGTTAAATTTGGAGAAATGATCCACACAGTCAAGGGTGAATTCTACATTTTCCCTCTCCTTTTTCTCTCAGGGTCTTAACCTGAGAGAGGGTCTTAATCACTTGGCAGAAGCTAAGATATCACCTAAAAGGAAATTTCCATTTGTAGATCTCTCTCTCTCTCTCTCTCTCTCTCTCTCTCTCTCTCTCTCTCTCTGCCTTTGCCTCAGGGTGGCCTCCCTGGAGAACTGTGGGGCAACAGTGTGAGTGATCATGATGCCAACAGAAACCCTATCGTTCTTACTACAGGACTTGGAAAGAGGGCTCCCACTGGTTAGATATGGGGGTATTTAGAGAGGAGAGAGCTAGAGGAGAAACCCTTCGTTCTATTTATGAAGCTGTGTAAGTCTCAGCACTTCCTTGGGCAACTTTGGACTCAGCACAAATCCGAAAGAGTTTAGCAAAGTTTTTGAAAACTGAGCTGACATTGAAACCACCACCCACAGAAGAGATAGACCTTGTGGTCTGAGTCCAAGCCAGGTGATACCTTGTTTAAGCAAACAAAGAAAAAGAAGTCAATATTTTCTCAGAGGGTTTGAACAAGATCCCCAACTAAAATATAAAATTCAAACATTTCAGGTTATACTCTGAAATCATTCAACATGCAAGTATCCAGAAAAGAATTCTCAAAAGAAAACAATTAAGATGCCAATCCAGAGATGTTGGGATTACAGGACAAGACTTTAAAGCAACCAAAACTATACTGCATAAAGTCAATGAAAACACACTTGAAATAAATATAAAGAGAAAATTTTAGTAGAGAAACAAAAACTTTATTTTTATTTAATTTTTTTAAAAAGTTATTTATTTATTTATTTATTTATTTGGTTCAGGATCTTGCTATACAGCTCAAACTCATAGTGGTCCTCCTGTCTCAGCCTCCCCAGGGCTAGGATTAAAGGTGTGTACCACCATGCCTGGTTTTGGTGGCTGACTCAGTGTGCTCTGGGTTCTGGGGTCTGCAACAGCATGTGGTACCAACCCGGGTCCTTATGCTTGCCAGGCTTGACAGGCAGGTGCTTAGACCACTGAGATAACTCCCAAGCCCAGAGAAATAAACACTTCTCTGGGAAGTGAACCAAGTGGAAATTTTAGAATTTAAAAATGAAACACTGGTAATAAAAAAATAAGTACATAGGCTGAGTAGCTGAAAGAGCATGACAGGAAAAAGTTAATGAGCTTAAACAGATCAGCAGAAATTTAAAGAAAAGGAGAAAGACTGAAAGAGAAATAAATAGAACTTCAGCAATGGGTTGAGATAAGATAAAAGGCCTACCATTTACATTGTTGGAGTATCAGAAAGAGGAGAAATACCTGGCACAGAAAAAATATTCAAAAAATAATGGCTGTAATCTCCCCAAATCTGGTAAAAACAAAACAAAACAAAAGAAACAAATAACAACAACCCCCCACAAGTTTATCAATCCAAGAAGCAAAGCAAAGCCAAAATTGGATAAACTTAAAACCATGCCCAGTCTTGTCATAACCAAACTTCTGAGAAACAACAATAAGAAATCTTAAAACCAGAGAAAAACACTACATTTCATATAAAACAAGGATTCAAATCATCACTTAGGTGTCATCATAAATCAGAGTAACAATGGTTATGAGACTTCCTCTTCCTGTTCCTCTTTTTGGTACTAGGAATCAAACTGAGAACCTTGTGTTTGCCAGGCAGGCACTGGGCTGCTGAGCTAATCCCCAGCTTTTGTACCATTATTTCCATTGTTCTTCCTTCACTACATCTTAACATGCTATATTTACCATTCTATTCCTTCAAATTTCCCACTTTTCCTTCGCATACTTGAGCCCAATAGTTAAATGCAAATACAACTTTGGTATTTTGTATTTATTCTGATTTATGAAAAATATTTTCATCTTGATGAAATGAATCATAGTTCATATCTTTTTTCATGTATTTAGGAGAGGGTCTACAGGGTCTACCTACACAGGTCAGACTTGTAGTGATTCTCCTGTTTTCAGCCTCCCAAGTCTTGGGATTACAGGCATGCATCACCACGCCCAGCCTCAATTGCCCTCAGCGTGCCCCGGGGGTGGGGCTGGCATGGCATGCTGGAGATGGAACCCTGGCTACTGTGCTGTGCCTAAGGAGGCACTTTAGTCCACTGTAGCCCAGAGCTATCTGGCTGGCCTATATAATTCATATCTTTTGAACAAGTGTTTTTGTTTTAAACTCTGTAAGTTTCCCAAAATATTGGATAGCTGTAAAAATGGATCATTTATTGTCTTATAGGGATATTCTGAATAGCAAATGAGATACAGAGAAAAATACAGATTATTAGGCCCAACTATAACACTGTAAATCATAAATCAGTGCTAACTTAGGGTACCTAAAAGCCTGATTCTTTTAATCCAATCTCCTGAGAAGGTACTGAAAGCCCACAGCTCTCCTATAGGATCATAAAGTTGGGGATATGGTTAGGACCAGCTGTCACCACATGAAACTCACAGTAAGTTGTTTGTGGCTGTTGTTTTATGTTCACTTGGCCTATATTAAATGACAACTCCTTAGAAATTTTAACCTCTGTCATCACTTGCACATGGGGAACTAACAGTAGTCCAGTTAAGGGACAAAAACACCAAATTCAAGTAGATCCCCATGATAAGTATTTTCAATAAGCATAACAAACCCAAATAGATTAGGAAGCCTAGGTATTTCGGATAGTGGTTAGAAATCCATTACTAGTCTATCCTCCCTATCTTCCCAAAGGCTGTGAGCAGTAAGACACAAATCTTCTACAAGCAACACAAAAGGTTGATCTTCTGGCTGAACTCTTGTATTTGCAGAAAGTAAAATCAGTATGAAGAACATGAGAGTATCCCAGGTTGTAGCAGAATGTGAAGACAGGTGAGATCTGATTTTGATTTTGAGCTGATAAGTACACATCCCCCTGCAAAGATGGCCAGCAGAATTATTACCTACTGCCCCCAGAATTATCAGTAATTCAAGTAGAAGAGGGATGAGGAAACACAGTAATTACAACTGATTTAATGCCCATTCAGGGTTCCCTATACCAGCCTTGTGTACTTTGATTCCTGGCAGGATCAACAGGTTTTCTCTGTTTCATTCTCCATCTCTGAATAAATGACATCCATATATAAAGACTGGATTATAAAGACTGAGCAAGATTAAGTCCTGCAGATGGCTGATGACACTTCCTCAGAGCTTCTCAAAATCCTTAGCCAATGTTAAGGGAAAAAAACACAAGCTTCTTGGATCTTAAGATTCTCCATTCAATGGAAAACTCAAAAGAATGAGGGGCCCAAGTCTAGTCTGAGTTTTATTTGGTGTCCTTAGGAAAGTGGTGTCCTAGTTTCTTCTTCTTTTAAAATAGAGTAAGAGACCCCTATTTTTAAATGTGATTTTTCATGCATCTCAATAATATGGATGCATTTTTTTTAGAATATGAGTTCATTTAGTGAAGAACAGAATTTGAAAACTTCTATTTGGTACAAAGTACTCTCTATTGTAGATGGGAAACAAAAGTATGGAAAAAATAGAAACTAGCTTAAGATTTATTGTTTTGAGCCAGCAAACCTTATACTACCCTGTTAATTCTATTTTCATTCCTATAAGAAGATTGTTATAGAATAAAGTCATCCTGGCCTCCCTATATTTGCTGCTACAGTCTGGATGTGGTTTGTGTGTGTTCTCCAAAGCTTCACATTTTGGAAACTTGATCCTCAGGGTGGCGATGTCGTGAAGTTGTGGCACTGTTAAGGAGCAGGCTCCAGTGGGAGGTAATTAGGTCATGAAAGGTGCTACCCCTGAAAGATAGTACAGAAACTCTTGAGGATCAAGGTTGGCTCTTGTGTTACTAACAGAGTGAGTCTCACCCCTGAATCTTTCTGGCCTCTGGTCTCATCATATGATCTTTCCTTGTAACACACACTCCCTCTATGATGTCGTCTGTCAGTAATCCCACACATCTTCTCAGTGTTTTCCCCCTGTAGACCATATTGCTTTTAAAAAACCTGTTCAGTGGCATTAATGCAGGAAAAATGTTTTCTCCTCTCCCAGTGTATCCTCCTAACTACAACTAGATGATGTGCTTCTCTTATTGCTAGTCTTGTGGTAAAACCTCAAAGTGTATTTTTCCCCTAAGGCATATCTATTTGCTCCTTTTACATCAATAACATTTTTCCCATGCTTGAGTTAAATTTTCTTTTTTTTTGTGCTATCACAAGCCCTCCATTTCTATCCCTTCCATGGTAATTATATCAGATAGTATTTCAAACTCTTACCTGTCATGGTGTACTTAATGTATCTCTGAAAACTGAATCCACAAGCCGAACAATTCAAATTAAAGAAAGTACAGTCCCCTAAGAATTTGGTTTGGTAATATCTTGCTCCTATTTAGCAGACTGAGTCACCAATGAAACATAAGATTTATCTTAATGTGATCTAGTTATTTAAAAATTTTCACCAACATTGAGAAACTCTATCAAAAGTCACCAGAGTAATCTAGAAGGGCCCAGGTGCACAGTTCAAGAGTTCTGTTACAAGAAAGCTATAAGATTCACATGCCAAATTATTAGGGCACAAATCTCAGGGTGACCCAGCAAGAGATCAACTTTCTAATGAGAAGGATGGAGAGTATCAGAGTATCCTTACCTGTCTTCTGTTAGTTTCATTAAAGTTGTTCCTCTAGTAGAGAAGACAATAAAGGACATCCTTAGTTGCGGGCTGGAAAAGAAAAGAAGCTCTATTAGGGTGGATACAAAGGCTACATCATGACATTCTTTTCTGGGCCACCTAGCTGTTCTTCTCTGGGTAGCATGATTACCAGAACCAAGGACTTGCAAACCAGAAGGCTAGTGTTGTAGGCAGTCAGCCAGCTGCGGATTCCTAAGCTGTGACCCAAGGACCAGACCTACTGTGTCTTTTCTGGAGGCTGCCCCTGATTGGACACTGTTGATCCATAAATATGGATTAGAAATAAGCAAGATAAAATCCACTACTGCCTTAGGCTTTTTCTGCAGTGTGTCTTGAGAAGGGGGCTAGTCTGCAAGGTGTCTATGAAATTGGGAATCCTGATACACAAAGTTGGCAGTTTGTCCACAGTGGCCTAGAGGGTTTTGTAAGGAAGAGACTGTCTCCAATATGGCAGCTTGATGGCATTAGTCATTAACATCATACAGTGACTTCCCTTTTAATTTCTCTTTGGCTTTCCAAGGATGCTATCCTATAAAGAGAGAAGAGTTGACTGACTACAGAGTATCTATTTTGCTTGGTAGTTTTATGTTTATTCAGTGAATAAATTGGCACTGTTTTCATATGGTGTGCTCAGGAACACTGTTAATGTAAATTTCACACTCGCGGAGGCAGAATGTTTCTTAGTTGAGGACCCAACATGTATCTCACTCTACAAGTTCTCACTTCACAGCCAGGCTGGCAAGGCAGTGCTATCCTTTGGGACTTTCTCTGCATGAACAACAGATTCATCCACATAAACTGTGGCTTCACAAGGCAGTAACCTCCCACGCTTGATCAGGTTCCAAATCTTACAGCTCCTTCTTCCTAAGATGTTTCTCAAAACCCGAGTCACTTTTCCATAGTTTAGCTTGGGACCTTGACATCAGTCATCTCAATGTTGAGCTAGAAAGTATCAGCATCATTCCCTGCTCCAATTCATTCTTCACACTGCTTCCTGAATTATGTTCCTAAAATATAAATTAGATATATGGGTTATCTGCTATTAAATCTTTAATGGTTCCTATTGCTCCTAGAATATAGTCTACTTCTCTGGAAACTACAACATGGTGTTTAGTGTGTGGTAGGAGCCCAAATGCTACCTGGTGAAATGAATATTATTCTCCTGAAACAGACTTTGCACCAGATCCAAAATGTACAAGCAGATACTGTGAATAGGGAAGAAACTGATCAAAAGAAAAGAAAAACTGTGATGGGTGACAGTTATGCAAGGTTGGACAAACAATTGAATATTAATGCTTACTTTCAAGAAATCTTAATTTTTTCCTTGTCTTTAAAAAATTATTTTAAAGAGACTATAATAATTGATAAGACATTAGAAATGGTACACATTTAGGAGACCAAGATGAGAGGTATTCAAGCATGGATTTTGTATTACACATTGCTGTCCATGATGTAGTTGTTCAGATGGTAGATATTAGCATACGGAGTTAGTCAAGGTGAAAATTCTAAATATTAACTGCTATTTTAAAAAAAACTGATGGAAATTATTAGTACAATCATCTCAGCCATCCTGTATATATACTTGCATGTTTTACACCCTTCCTTTTTTCCTGTCTTTTTTCTTTTCTCTCATGTTCATTGTTTAATCCTTGAGTTCAGTTTCTTTCCATTTTACTATATCTATTATACCTTTCAGGTTTTATTTATTCTTTCAAGTTCTTACACTAGGGAGACAGTATAATATTTACACATGTGGGTCTGATTTATTTCGCTTATGAATATAGCCTCTAGTTTACTTATGAGTGTAGCCTTTAGTTTATCGGTAAGTGGGCCATGCATGACAGTAAAATCTTGGAGCCATGCTTGGAGGGCTCTGTAGCCAAGGAGTTCAGAGGAGACAGCCAAAAGAAAGTACCCTGTGGTCTGGACTAAACTGTTTCTCAGTTTCTTCATCAAGGAGATTGGTTTAAGTATCTCCATCATCTGACCCTGTCTTGTTTTGATTCTAAGATAATGAAGAGTCTGGCACTTGCTGAAGAGCTAGGAAGATGATATTGTGTACCCCACTCAGAGCCAGGTGCTGGTCTACTTGGTTTGCTTTGTGTTCTTTTTGTAATTCTCACAGGGAAATTTAGTGTTCATCTAAGGCAAGAAAATACTAAGGTTACACAGTGGAGCTTAGATTCAAACCCATATTTGTGTGACTTCAAAGTCTTTCCCAGTGGCTTTTCCAGCTTCAGAGAGACCAAAGACAAGAATAGCAAATGGAGATAGAGCAGAGACTGTCAAGTATCTGGAGGCAGATGTGTTTCATGTCACTCCAAAGGACCAATAGATAAGTGCAGGAAAGGACATTTTGACGAAAAGACTTTGTTGAAACTGAAATTGTCCAGCTGCTGGACTGTTTGTTGAAAAGGAAGCAATTCCTCATCAAAGTTGTTCAATGTGAGGTCTATGGATGCCTCCTTGGATAGATCTGGAAGCCGTTCCTTTCAAGTCTAAGTGTCAGTGTTTCCCTTTAACTATGGTTTACTATAACCAACATTCTTGTTTTTTCTTTCCCCTATGTATTTTTTTCTTTCTTCTTTCCTCTTGGCATCTGTTATCCCCAAACATCTGGGTTTATATAGTTCCTTGTTCCACTTTCAATAGGCACATGTTGATCAATGAATGAATTTAGGAGGAAGATATCTGTGATTACCCTGGGTTCAGAAGATAACCTGCACTCTGAGATGAAGAATCTCACCATACAGCTACTCATGCCAATTGAAAGGCTCTATGAATGACATGTAGAATAAAGTAGGGCTGTGTTGCTATTTACAGTGCTCAGGCCAATTTTATCAAAGACCTTGACCACTTGCATCAGGCATATCCATGAAAATTGTGTTATCTCCCTGAGTACATTGGAAGTTGTACTCAGGGAGAGTGATGTGACCTCCTTTCCTTTACTAGTTTGTGTCCTTACCTACTGCAGAGTGGAACCTGCAGGATTTCTGTACAGTGAATATGTTTGCATGTGCTTGGGAAAGGGGAGTTGAGGATACTCAGAGGACTATATTTGATATGATACCTAATAGCAACCATCACAATTTTCTCAGGACTAAGGAGTGTTCCCAGTACATGAGATTTTTCAATACTAAAACTGAGGAAGTTGAGGGCAAAATTTGAGATGAGTCAGTCAATCTATACCCTACACACTAGAAGTCCACTAGAAGGTGCCAGTTGTCCCTGTTTGATGAACTGCTCGGGAAAGAGTTTTCATGATTCTTTTACTAGAACATATTATTCATTTTACAATTAAGCCTGGCTTTTCCTGAAAATACTAATCCAAAGTTGTTTTAATATATGGCATAGATCAAAACAAAGTAACCAGTACCTCATCCAAGACTTAAGAGTCCACCTTTATGAAAAAGCATCTTCAAAGTGGTTAGAAGTTAGTAGAACAGCAAACACACACTGGTCATAGCCATGGTGGAGAACTACAGAGAAACTTTTCTTACCTGATGAATTTATGAGCCAGCTGTTCCACAAAGTAATAGATCTCATTCCAATGGTGCAGAACACTTCCAGATCTTAAAACAAAACAAAACAAATGTTGCTTAATTTAGGAGTTTATTTGACTTCACTTATATTATTTCCCTTCACATTTTTTTATTTTACATTTGACCTATCCATCAACCAGGCTCATCAACTGAAGGCTAGAAATTTTTGAAAATCTGTTTAGATTTTCCACTAAGGTTTAAAAAAATCTTATTAGAGGTCTCCCCTGAAGCCAAGTGCTCTACCTTCTCCACCACCAACCCAATTGCACACACCTATACTCTGACAAACAAAATGAGAAAAACACTGGGGATCAGATAGACTCGAAATTAGCACAGATAAAACAAAGATTAAACCATCCCCTCCAGTCCAATTTCATTTAAAATGTAGGTGTGAAATTCTTCAATTAAATGTTAGCAAAACTAATCCAGCAGGGGTCCAAAAGAAGAATAGTTAATTAATTGAGTTCATTTTAGGAAGAGTTAAACATTTAAGGGAATATAATTTGACTAGTGATACTAATAAACAAAGAAAAAAACCTATTGTGCTTTTCACTGTATTAAGGAAAATTCTCTTCCTGAGAGGAAAGCGTTCCTTAGAATGTATGGAACTACAGCAATGTATATTGGAAAAAAAGCTTTTTTACTGCCTAAAAAGAGTCTGATTGCTGTTTCAAGATACTATATCCTTTCACTTTCATTCAACTTTAAATATGTCCTATAGTGCTTGCTCTAGGTCTGTTGTGTAGAATCCAGCCTAACTTCTGCTATTCAAACTCACCCTCCAGTAGGTCTGATGCCTGTTCTCTTTAGTTCATGAGTCTATTTCAGTTGAGCTTGGAATTTCTGTTTGCCATTCTCAAAAGTATTGAGATTTGAGTTTGCTTCTTCTAATCTGACATTTTGTGCTGTAAACATTTTCTACTGGTTTCTGCCTTTTTTTTTAATGAATTCATTTGTAATTTTAGCCACAAGCTTAAAGAGTTAAGTATTGATGTTTTCCTTGTTTTAAACTATTAAACACAAAAGAAGAATCTGGGCAAAATATTCCATTTTATAGATACAGTATTTGCAAGAATTCTCACTGGTTTGAATATATTCTTTCTCTGTGAGAATTTTTCTCTATCCCATATCTAGACAAAATAAGTATTTCCTACTTGGACAAAGCAACATAGTATATGAAGGCCATACAATCAAAGGCTTCATACATAAGGATGTCTTATTTTTTCAAAGTTAATCTATCACTTTAACTCCAGCAAAAAAAAAAGTCTAGAATAATATTTTGTAAAACTTAAAAAACTAATTTTAAAAATAAAATGAAAATTAAAGTCTAAGACTAAACAAAACAATTCTTTTTTAAAAAAAATAAAAAAACAAGGCAAGAAGCCCCTGCCTTTCCAGCCTTCCTGCTGGAGTTTGCTGACTCCAGCTGCCCTTGCTCACCCTGAAGCCAACCAGAGAGACCTGGTCGGCTAGCTGTTGCCCCTCTAGCCTACCCTCTGGAGTTTGCTGATTCCAGCCATCTCTCCCTACCCTGAAGACCACTAGGGAGTTGTGACTACCACACAGACCTGCTGGAGCCTTTTTGAGCACTACCCTGTGCCAATCCACTATTGAAAGAGCCTTGCATGACTTCAGCCTGCATGCATTATCAGTTACTTCTTGAACTGTGGCTTGCTCCCCTCTTCTTAATGAGGAAGAAACCACATTGAATCCACACAGTAGCAGCCTTGGTGAGCCTACCCTGCTCTCCCACTCTCCTGAGAGCCTTGCTGGCCTGCACCCTGCCCATCTACCATCGCTGCAAAAAAAAAAAAAAAAAAAAAAAAAAAAA